TAACCACCGCGCACGTAGATTCTATTACTTCACAGAGTTCCATTATGGTGCCAGGAGAAAGATCTACGGAGGAGCTAAAGAGGCATCAACAATCACTTAAGAGAGCAAGTGCCAAAGAGAAAATGGATAGCATTGATTCAAGCCTCTCCCCAGGCCTGCTGCGTCTGGTTGATCAATCGAGGACAAGGGCGTAAGTTCTTGGCTGAATGCGATGCCTCTCGCAGACAAAGGTTTAGCCCTCAACAAGCAAGAGTTCAGCGACTCGCTACGCTTGCGTTATGACTTGCGCTTAGTCGATTTACCAAGTCATTGCATATGTGGGGATAAATTCACCGTTAGTCACGCCCTCTCTTGTAAAAAGGGGGGGTTTGTAGTGCAGAGACATGACGGTGTACGGAACTTGTTAACGACATTCATCGACAAGATCTGCAATAATGTCGAAATCGAACCACGCCTTCAACCCCTGGACAACGAGCGATTTCATTTGAGGAGCGCTGTTACAAGTTCTGAGGCAAGGTTGGACATCAAAGCGGGAGGTTTCTTGGCAAGAGGAGTTACGGCATTTTTTGATGTTAGAGTTACGCACGTCAACTCCAAGTGTTACCAGAGCAAGCCAACATCGGAAGTGTTTAAAGAGCAAGAAGAAGAGAGGAAGCGCAAGTACCAGCAGCGGGTACGTGTTAGATGTAGAAATGGGTTCGTCTACGCCTTTAGTGTTTGGAACCAATGGCGGAATGGGAAACGAGTGTCAGCGGTTCTTAAAGCATCTCGCAGACAAGATAGCTCAGAAAGACACCGAGCCTTATCATGTTGTAATCGCTTGGCTCAGGACACAGATCTCGTTTGAACTCTTAAGATCGGTACATGCATGCGTCAGAGGTTCGCGAACGCCGTTTCGTAGCAAGATAGAGCAATCATTAGACTGTAAAATAAATGTCGCTAGTGCGGATATCGGAAATACGTGTCTATATGCTTTTATACTTAGGGCTTTTTATGGACACTGGTTTAGCCGTCATTAGTATAATTCGATCGTATGATCTTAATATCTCTGCATAATGGAATTCTTAATTTTATAGAATTTTGAACTTTTGTTATTAATTATATCTATTTCCTCTTCTTTTATGTAAGGTTGAGTTACTTCTATTTTTTAGAATTTGTAAATGAATAGTTTCTTTCTTCACTTATTATATATAGGATTGTTTTTGTTCTCTAATGAAGGCCGAGGGGTTTCTTTTGTAACGGATGGAATTGTAGATGGTGTTTTGATGAATTAATTAGATTTTTTGTAACAGCAGGTTGATTGTAAATAGGATTTTAATTGAGGTTTTGTAATAAAGATTTTAATTATTATTATCGTTTTCGTTATCATTATCATTATCATCATCATTATTATCATTATTATTATCGTTATCCTTATCCTTATCGTTATCATCATCATTATTATTATCATTATTATTATTATAATTATTATTATCGTTATTGTTATCATTATCATTATCATCATCATTATTATTATCATTATTATTATCGTTATCATTATCATCATCATTATTATTATCATTATTGTTATCGTTATTGTTGTCATTATCATCATTATCATTATTATCGTTATCATTATCGTTATCGTTATCATTATCATCATCAACATTATTATTATCAATATTATTATCGTTATCGTTATCATTATCATCATCATTATCATTATCATTATTGTTATCCTTATCCTTATCGTGATCATCATCATTATTATTATCATTATTATTATCGTTATTATCGTTATCATCGTTATCGTTATCATGATCATTAAGGAGGTAACAGAGACGTAAAGTATTTTAGCTTATCACGATGATGCAGTGCTGGATCCAGACCTTGAGATAAGGGGGGCGGGGGAGGGGGGGGTCATCCAATCGCAACTTTTCAAACAGGCCCTTCGGAACCACCACCGCGGTGGCGCGAAAACATCACTTTACCTCGACCTCTCGCACACTAATTATTACTACAATATTTATCCTGTCTCGTCCATCAATTGAAAACTAGCTAGGGGAGTTACGAAAAATCGTTGTCTTAGGTATACTCCCTCCCCTACTGTTTGGAACGTTCACGCCATGGTTGTGCTATGACGGCAGAGAAATCCACCGGAAAAAGTGCGATGCATGGGCCGAGTTCTTGTTTTGCTTGTTTTAAACTAAGTTAATTACTTTACTGCTTAAAATTGTGGATGTTCTCGATGCCCTCGTATATAGTCACTGATATGCTCGTCTATGCTTACTATCCAACGGATAATTTACTATCCAGCGGATAAGTATTAGCGAAACCAATTGTGCTATTCAGTGGATAGAGATTTATCCGACGGATAGCGGTGTCCACCTTTTTAACAACTGGGGCCAGGGATTAATTTTTTAAAAACTTTTACAAGTGCAATTTACGAGTGTAGCTATTGTTTTCAGACTCTAAAACAACTTTTCATGTGATGTGCGGGGTGATCTTTTTCTAAAGGACAACATCTTGCTGAGGAGTGTTAGGGCCAGTTTACATGAAGGTAAGGGACCACAGGTAGGCGCGGTAACCCGCTTGGGCGGGGTAACAACCCCAGGTAACCCTCCCAGCTGGGGTCAAACGTTTTAACGTGGGGTAACCCGCCTAGCCGGGGACGGATTCCTTTTTACGTTAAATTCGACTAATTCAAACCACAAAAAAAGCTACAGCTAGCACTAATAGGGTGTAGCTAGAGCAGAAAGTGAAAGAAGAAGAGTCATGTCGCTTGCTCGCCATTCAGTTTTCAGTGTGAACGTGTTTAGCGGCCATTCTATGATCTTACGAAAGCTAACTGAACGCCGGGTTGGCCGGGTGTAAGATTGCTTGTCAACGCGTTTTTTTCTTACCCCACCCAAGTGGGTTACTTCACCTACCTGGGGTACCCCACCTTTGTGTAAACAGGCCCTAAATGTTAGAATTTGCTATTCACAACTAATGAATAGATGAATAAAAAATGACGCGTGATATTTAATACAGCACGCCACTTATTCAACCTAGCACCATTGTCTCGTTTTAACAGATAATGATGATACTGACTTTGAGAATGGCCGCCTTGGGAAGTGGAGTAATTCTAAAAGTGACAACTTAACACTGAAGGTTTCATCGGTCCTACACGCAAACTATTGATGCTGTACCTGGTGCTGATCATACTACTGGACTAGGTTTGTATTTTTGCATTGCCTCTATTAGGCGCATATAAGCAAGAAAACATGTACAAATTAGACAAAAAGAGCCTCTAGCCTCGACGGATGACACCCTCTTCGATCTGCTTTATAGAGAAAAGAATTCGTTACGTCACGTTGCCATGGTAGCAAAAAATTTGGATGACAACAAACCGTAAAAGTTACTTAAAAGTCTATTCGCACTACTTTAAACTTCACCGATTTTATTCAATTTCATTTAATTTGTTCAATCTCTGCGAAATTTTCTTTCAGACTGTATCTATCGTTATCTAAGTTAAGAAAAAGAAACCCACAATTTTTGTATGTGTTCACCTACTCCATAAAGCGGGCTCTTGAAATCAGGAAGTTTCATGTCGTAGTGATACACGTGCAGAAATAGGGCTACCATGGTAACGTGACGTCACACTTCTCCTCTCTATTCTTCAGAGCATACTCACCCTCATTCAATAACTGCTAAACAAATTTTTGAAAGGGATATAACACAGATAAGTCAATGTATAATAAAACCAACTTGTCCCCCAACGTCATTAAAAAGAGAGAAGACAGATGGTTGTTTATGAGGGCGCCATTTTCGGCAACCTACTCATGAACGGTTAAGGAAGTAAGATTTTGGTAGTCATTGCAACAATCTTTTACAGTCTGTACCCGTGAACATCGTGCATTATGCGTCATTTATACTAAGGTCCTTTCCACACGAATCCTGACATTTTCGAAACCGCATTTCAGTGAACCGGATTCGTGTGGCCGATTTTTTATTCGTGTAAAAAAGTGATTTCAAAGGTATTCGGGGTCTAACAGAGTGGGAAGAGGTGATAGGAAAACGCGCGGGGTCACGCGTACTGTTTTTAAATTCTTTGCTGTTGTTGTTGTTTTGTTTGTTTATTGCTTTCGTTTTTTGAATACCAATTAATTGGCGCCTCTGCCTACGAGAGTGGTGGCATCTTTAATTTCGGATTTAATTTTTATGGAACGCTATCCAACAAGCAACAAGATGTTCTGAGCAGATGTATCTTGGTGCTTCCAACAGTGTTGGATGAATTTGGATTACAATTACATCAACAATTAAACAGGACGTTTGGATTATGTTATATAAACAGGAAGATCGGTATAAGATGTGGGAACCTGCACACCTTCCCGTCCCCTTTTCCAAAATATGGCCTGAATAAGTAATTACCGTTAGCGTTAGTTTAGTAGAGGGGTATCGATGCGAAATTTCTCAGTTTTTTTAATTATACCGATGCAAACAGGAAACTACTTTTACGTGGAATCATCAGGAACAACACGCGGCCAAAGAGCTGAGTTCGTGACTCCGTGTCTGTCGGGTCGGCCTAGTGGTCGGTGCTTGAAGTTTTACTACTTCATGTATGGCAAAAGAATGGGAAGCCTGGCCGTCAAATTAACGTTATCCGACGGAAGAAACTGGTACATTTTTACAAGAAAGGAGATCAAGACCAATATTGGAAAAAAGGAATAGGGAACATAGATCCTGCGATGGGTTTAAGGGGTAGGTATATACCGGAAATTCTTAGGCCTGGTTCAGACGCCGAACTTTTCATGAGCCGAACCTAATTCGAATTAAGGCCGACCCAAATTATTTAGACCAGCTGAACTGATTCAGACGCCGATCTTAATTCCAGCCGAACTAAATTAAAAAGGAGAAAAATGCTCATTTCGGTCAAACTAATTACAAAATACGATATAATATTTTATGCATTAGGTTCGGTACATGAAAAGTTCGGCGTCTGAATCAAAGCCGTTCCAAAGTCACTCCAAAGGTGAAAT